TCCACAAGCTGCTGTTATTGTCAAGTGGAAGGGAAGGGTATGTCCAACCACTGTGGAAGCCCATCCAATCCTTCCACCACTTTATACAGAACCCTATCATCCTGGGCCTGCATTTTGTGTTATCTGCTCTCATTGGGGTCACACCTTCACTGCCTGCTGCCGACCTGATCGTCCTAGATGTCGCTTCTGCTCACGTAACCACAACTCCGCGGCCTGTGCGCAGAAAATCAAAGACCACCTTAATAGGGGTGGTGTGGGCTGAAAAGGAGTTCCAAAGGCTGGTTGCACGCGAGGTCAAGTCAAACCCAAAGGCGTTTTACCGCTATGCAAAGTCGAAATTGAAAACGCGAGTAGGAGTATCAGACCTGAGGCTTGAAGATGGTAGTTACGCAGATTCTGACCAGGATAAAGCTGAGGCATTGAACAGCTTCTTTTCCTCAGTGTTCACAAGAGAGGATGCAACTAACCTTCCTGCGTTTGAGGACAGACGGTTCGACACAGCACTGACCCACATTGTGTTCACAGAAGAGGGTATTAGAAATAAACTGTCCAGGCTAAAGGTCCATAAGAGTCCTGGACCTGACATGGTGCATCCTAGAGTGCTAAGGGAGCTGTGCAACGAGCTTGCAGAGCCCCTGAAGATTCTGTTTTGTAAATGCCTGGATGAACAAATGGTCCCCAGTGAATGGAAAGTGGCTTATGTGAGTCCTATCTTCAAGAAGGGCGATAGGCACTCCACGAACAACTATAGACCGGTGAGCCTGACCAGCATAATATGTAAAGTACTTGAGAGTATTATCAGAGATGCAGCGATGGAACATCTACTACGAAACAACCTTGTAAAAGATTGCCAACACGGTTTTATGCCGGGGCGCTCTTGCTTGACACAATTGCTCAAGGTATTGGATATTTGGACCCATATTCTAGAACGGGGTGGTAATATCGACAATATTTACCTAGATTTTGCCAAGGCTTTCGACAGTGTACCCCACGAAAGGCTGAAAATCAAACTGGAAGGGTACGGAATTCGGGGAAATGTCCTAGCGTGGATAGAAGACTTTCTACATGACCGCAAGCAATGTGTGGTGATTAATGGCACGAAATCGTCATCTGTACCTGTAACAAGTGGGGTACCGCAGGGTAGTGTATTGGGCCCGCTGTTGTTTGTTTGTTTCATAAATGATATGCCTGACGTTGTACACTCCTCCATACAAATGTTTGCCGATGATGGCAAGTTATTTCGGGAAATTAAGAACCAAGCGGACTGTGAAGAGCTGCAGAAGGACCTCTGTGGGCTCCAGGAATGGTCGAAGGAATGGCTGCTGAGATTCAATGTCACGAAGTGTAAGAGGATGCACCTGGGGCGTACCAACGGTAAGGAGGCGTACCATATGTCCCAACGGGATGAAGAAAATGTACTAGTTGAGACTGTGTGTGAGAAGGACCTAGGTGTGTATGTTGACAATGAGCTGAAGTTCTCGGGCCATTGTGAGAAGAAGGTAAATCAGGCAAATAAATTATTGGGTCTTATAAGAAGGTCGTTCAGATATCTAGACGGTCCGTCCCTCGTGACGATCTTCAGGAGTGAAGTGCTTCCCCATCTGGAGTACTGTCACCCCATCTGGTCCCCGAGATATGCTAGGGACTGTCAGTTGGTTGAAAATGTTCAAAGGAGGGCCACCAAACTGGTGCCTGCACTTCGGCATCTCAGCTACCCTGAGAGATTGGAGCGCCTGAACTTGCCTAGCTTATACTACAGACGGGCAAGGGGGGACCTAGTTGAGGTTTATAAGCATCTCAGGGGGCACTACTCAGTTGAGTGTCCTTACTTGGAGCTGGCGGACGCTCGCCCCACAAGGGGTCACAGCTCAAGATTGAAGAAGCCGCAAGTCCAGAAAACCGTGAGGGCAAACTTTTTCGGAGTGAGGGTTGTAAACTCTTGGAACAATCTACCAGAGAGTGTTGTGACGGCACCGAGTGTGAGCTCTTTCAAGAGAAGACTTGACCAACACTGGAGCGGGTTCAGGTACATTCAGGAGCCGGTGCATGCCCAGTATTTGCCAACAGTGCGTGACAGAGACGTGACCGATCGCCCGGGCGGCTAGCGAGCCGACCTTTTGGTGAAGAATATAAAGGAAAAGAGACGTGACCGATCGCCCAAGCGGCTAACAAGCCGATCAGTGGCGAAGAGGATAAAAGTAAAAGTAAAACACAAACAACTGAATGACGATCTGACTTCCCCAAACACCCTGAGGGCAAGTGATCCACTGTTCTTCAAAATAAAACAAAAACACTAATCATTGACCATATCAAAGCTGCACCAATTTAAATATAAGACATTTATTATCAGATTCCATTTTGTTTATCAAGATTTCGCTTTGCCAACTCGGACTGGCATGTGCGTGGATGACATTGCCAGATCTCCTGCAGGTAAGCGGCGGGAGATAAGCAATGTGAATTAACTCATTAACCTGTAGTTGTATACTTTCACAAGCTTTAGGTGACCTCTCGATGACCTGCGACAGTATTATACATAATAACTCGCATTGCCCCTGTACATTATACCCAAACCTCCCTGGCTCTCTCTCTCTCTCTCATCTACGATACAGCCATCACTCACCAGCGAAATGTTAACCTCGTAATATCCAATAAAGCTAAGATTCAATCACTATTATCAGCAAACACGACATTGCTGTAGCTGCTGCTACCAATAATAATAATAATAATAATAATAATAATAATAATAATAATAATAATAATAATAAGAATAAGAATAAGAATAAGAATAAGACGAAGACGAAGAAGAAGAAGTCTATATAAAAAATACATCCATATAAATTATATTCCAACACCTTATGACTGACCAGCATCACCTGCAGCCTAAGTCTATATCTTCTATATAAAAACATCCGTCTCCTCACACTACCGTTTCTATGGCGTGTCCACAGGCGCATCAAGTCACCATCCCTCCCTGAATACAACACAGGTACTCCACTCACCAGTTCACTACTTGTCATCAATCCTTTGTTGACCCCTCCCCCCCCACACACACTTAAAGATTCCCTCTTCCTCTCGTCTTATTGTGTTCCTCCAAGAGTATGTTTATCTCAGCCGTGTCAGTCAGTAGTTGTAAAGTTATATATGGATGAGAAGGTAAACAACTATTATACCTCTCGGGGCGTTATCTTAAGTCAAGGGTGAAGGTGATGACGGAAGGTACATTATCTGTGGTCGTGTTCGGATGTGTGTATAATCTCGTTTTATTATTTTATATTTTATTATATACAGGTCAATGGAGTAAACATGGAAGGGAGTCGAACCTGAGACTAAGATTTTGTTGACGACCAAAGATGGCATTGAAGAAGCTCAAAAAATAAATGGTTGTTGTTGTCATTTCTGAGTAGAGCTTTTGACCACACTCTGTACTATATTGTTTAGACGCAGTGATAGAGAGATTTAAGACACATGGCGGAGTCTAGCACACATATGACTGACTTACAGGAAACTTTACACCCAAGATTAAGGTTTGCGAGAGTGAAATAAACCTTTGTGGGGAGCTGATATGAAGTTTGTGTTCATGATGGTTACACTGTGATGTGGGCGTGTGATGTGGGCGTGTGATGTGAGCGTCAGATTAGTGGTGTTTACGAGTCAAAATGTGTGTGTGTGAGCGTGTGAAACATCTTCGCATCTTACATCATCAGCATCACTCCCACCACCTCCACAGCACAAGATAAACACCCTCACCCTCACCGTCAGTACACGAACGTTTGCTTTGTACAAGGACTAATGCACAATTCTTTAAGGTGTTACCAAATTTTCCATCATCAGTAACTAATGAGTATTGAGAGTAGGCATTACCAAGCAGTAATTAACTCTGTGGCATTAATCGACTGTGTTTATCAGGTAGTTACTATGTTGGACTTCGCCTCATCAGGAAAAAGATTTTATCACTTTATTTTTCATTGGATAATGTCAGCCATCACTACCCCCCACCCACCTCTTCCACCTACCCAACACCCTCCTCCACCCCCCGACGGTGATAGGTACAGGTAGACCTACTGTCCCCCACCCCCCCGACGGTGATAGGTACAGGTAGACCTACTACTACTCTAATAATCTCTGCTCACATAATCAGGTTATATTAGATGGTGTTCTTACTGTCCGGGATAACTAATGTTTATAAGGCGAGTTCTTCAAGAGAGCAACAGCCCACAGGAGACTCGTCCACTGGGAGTATAGATCTTACTGTACAACAACTATCTCGTTAACTTGGGCGACTTATTCTGTATTTGAATGACTTTTTAATTTATCTGAGATTTAAGTACTGTGGGTGACAACGTGACTTAATAGGCATGTAGTGTGTTCTTAAGTACTGTGAGTGACTCAGTGGCGTAGCTAGAGTGTAAGCCGCCCGGGGCGGCCCTTGAGTTTGCCCCCCCCCGTGCCCCCACAAAAAATACATATTGCACAGTGACTCACTCTTATATATATATATATATATATATATATATATATATATATATATATATATATATATATATATATATATATATATATATATATATATATATATATATATATATATATATATTAAATAGTTTGTGTACCATTATAATATTACTGTACTTTCACATACTCAAATATAGTATGCTTTAAATACACACCAAACATACTTAAACTTTATAAGTTTCCTTAATCCTCAACAGGTTACAGGTTGTGTGTGTGGCGGGGGGGGGCGCATAGCAAGGGTGTAGCTCATGACGTGGCCGTGATGATGTGGGTCAGGTGTTAGGTCAGACACGACAAGGATTAACTTGCCGCCGATACAAAGGGATGGATTAACGTCTCCAGTAGCTGCAGATATGGGTGATGAGCAGACCCAAAAGTGCCGCCCCCCAAAAGTGCCGCCCGGGGCGGACCGCCCCCCCCCTAGCTACGCTAGTGGAGTGACTTATGCTGTACGATGTTGACTCTTAAGAACCAAGGGTGTGACTTACTCTGTATGTATCCCTCCAGGTGACACCAGACCTTGCCCAGCGGCCAGAAGTAACTGGTGTCACGTATGGTAAAGGGTATTGGCCCAGTGATAGTCAAGATGAGGTCAGCGACTGACATGTTGAGGATGAAGTGGTTGACGGAAGTCCTGAGCAGTAGGCGGTTCTTGAGGAGGATGATGATAGTGCACAGGTTACCCAACAAGGCCACCAGCACCACCAGCGTCACGTAGGTCCATCTCACCGTCATTTCCCAGGTCGGGGTGTAGGTCAGGTTATGTTTATCAGTATAGTTGTAGTCGCTGAAACAAATGACGTCATTGTCCTTGTACCTGCAGCAGGAGTCATTACACACTATTTTCGATACTTGACTCAGTAAATAGGTCACATCTTCAATGGTAAGGTTATGATGTTTGCGATCCGCCATTATATCTGGTTTGTGTAGCAATTTACAATGTCATATATGTTGGGACAATTCGTCACCGTATGTGTGTCACACCATCTTGACAGCTGTCTAGTTCAGCGAGATGATGTGATATCTTCATGACCGCCACAACACTCGTATATAAGAGACCTCGTATATAAAGTGGAATTGATTTTCCTTCTCGTTTGTTGATCCCTATTCTGAAGGTCACTACTGAAGTGTTTGTAAGTCATATGACTTAATCTAGACGTCACTTGTGAAGTATTTATGTCACTCCACTTAATCTGGATCACTTGTGAAGTATTTATGTCACTTCACTTAATCTGGACGTCACTTGTGAAGTATTTATGTCACTTCTCTTGATCTGGACGTCACTTGTGAAGTATTTATGTCACTTCACTTAATCTGGATCACTTGTGAAGTATTTATGTCACTTCGCTTAATCTGGACGTCACTTGTGAAGTATTTATGTCACTTCTCTTGATCTGGACGTCACTTGTGAAGTATTTATAAGTCACTTAATTGCTACTTAGCTCAACCTAAGCATCACTTCAGAATATTAATAAATCGTATCACCCAACCTCACATACACGTAGGCAAACTCTCGCTGATATCAAACATTCTTAGCTCCATGGAAGACTATAAACAAGAACCTCTCGATCTTAACAAGTTTTCCACGGCAGTAACTGGCGGTGGGGCGAATGAGTTAGCGCGTGAGAGTCAACTGATGCAGGTCGAGGTGGCCCTGGTTGACACACCACCTCATTGTTACTCCTCCTTATCTCTGCTTTTTATCTTAATTAATATTGTTTAGAAGTGTTCTGACCTAGTGTAAATGATAAGGAGTTTGTCATCGTGTACATTATGTAAATTAACATCTAATGCCTTGTATGTTGTGGTAAATAGGATGGTATTGTATATATTGGACGGTGATGTTTACGTGACCTTCAGTATATGACTACGTTACCTGATGATGGAGAGGGAAAGGAAGCGATGTTTAGTGTAAGTGAACGAAGCTATGTGGACTGGGTCAGTGGGGAGACTCTACGTCTTGATCCTTCAGATTAGACGATAAAAATAAGACAAAGATTTGTTCCTGTAATCTTATTTACATATTTTAAAGGTACTTACAGCCACTTGAGGGACGTCTTCACTCAATCAAGATAAATTTTTTATTGGCGAGTTTAAAGATGTTTTTGTAGGAGGTGTTCACGATATATGACCATTAGTGCATCACCTGAAGACTAGCTCCCACCTTATTTCATATTAAGATTAACCACCCTAACCTAACGTTAACCTAACCTAACGTTAATCTAACCTAATCTAACCTAACTTAACGTAGCCTAACCTAGCCTCCCACTGTTGTTTCTGATGTTATTTATGTATAAATACGCCTCATCAACTAAGGTTATTTAGCAAGTACTCTTGGTTAGGTTGTACATCTTAGACCTCAAGTATTTAATAACATTCAAGAGCGTTTCATCTTCCTGGCCGCCTCCCGTGATACAGCCGTCATGACCAAGAAAGTTGATTGTTCGTGTTTCATGACGGTCATGTTTGGAAGGTACTGTACGTGGGCTACATCTCCAGGTGCTCGTCTTCAAGTCTGTTATAAATGGTCGACTTGGAAAACTTGGGGTCTTAGAAGGCGAAGGAGGAAACTAAGGCAGAGGGAAAAGACTTCCATAGCGTAATGGTGTGTAATTATTTCAAGTTGAACACCTTTCATAATCTATTTGTTAGTCATAACATCTAACACTGATATAAACCAGTTAATCTTTGGTAATATTTCATACAGTAATAACAACAGTTTATTGGATTAAGTCAAATAACTAACAGGAATAGACCAGTGTTATTTTCTTTGTTTAGTAATGAAAACAATTAAAAAAAAAAACTTGGGTTGTATGAATTACCATTATATTTGTACTGCATGACGCTGGTCCTCACAGCCACCTCGCTCTTGGAGACACTAGCGTCCTGTATGTCCCTGAGATCCATGATGCCATCGCCTGCCAGCACAAGGTACTGTAAGCTTTGATATCAAGATGGGTAGCAGAAAGCTTAAAAAAAAACATATATTATCCTGGAGTATGAATCTTTATACGTTATCTCCCGGGTATTACTGGTGTCGTGAAGGTCCGTGATGTTACTTACTGAAGGCTTCTTTGTCAACTTTTCTATTAAAGACCGTGAGAGGTTGATGTTATACTGTAGGGTGTGTCATAGGAGGGAAGATCAGCTAAAACTAATGGCCCATCACTTTTTTGGTAGATTTTAGTGTATATAAACAGAAAATAATTTCAGTTTCAATATTTTGCAACCTTTTGCTAGGTAAATTTTAGCGTGAAATTTATCGAAAATCTAACGTACAGCTGCATTAGTGCATTACAATTAAATAATGAACATTGCTTTCTGACTTCATTCTTTAACAACCCAACTAACAATATTTTTTCTGTTTCAGATTCTGATGCATTTATAAGTTGATAATATTTGCGATGGCTGCTTGTGTCAGGACGAGGAACCAAAAATCCAGCCATCTCAGTCACTATCTTGGGTCTGGGAGAGCTCCTGAAGTCGGAGTTGCCTACATTGAGAGATGCTTTGAGATACGGTGTTTTAATCAGGCAAATCAGTGAAAAGAACCAAAGAACTTACACAAACAAAGACATTGCCAGTGATATGACCAAAGCTGTCTTGGCACAGTACACTCTGGCTAACGCTCAGTTCAAGCCTCCAGTCATAACAAGTCAGAAGAAGATTAGTGAGAGACTGCTAGCCAGTTGGGAAAAGGCAAGCGATATCTCTCTTGGGAGAGGAAAACTTGCAGTTAAGGACAGCTTTGCCAAGCAACTGGACCAGTTATTTGACATAATTACTTGCAAGTGCCCAATTGTTCTCTGTCCTGAGTTTGGATGCGATCGTGACTGTAAATCCGAGGCCCACATCTCCTGTATTTGCAAGCGTGAACTGAAGATTCCTGTGATCGAACTGGCATTTGTCAAAGCACAGAGAGAGAAGACTGGCAGTATAGGGGCTCTCATGATTTCTAGCCAAGATATTCCGGAGTCCAAGAGACAGGAGGCTGCCACAGAGAGACAGAAGAGGAGAAGAGTTGTCGAGGAAAAGAGACTTGAGAAGGCCCAGGGTGAGGTAAAAAAGGCCGATGATTGGAGTCAAGCTGATTCAGAGTTTAATGACTTCCCCATGGCTGATCCGAGTGCTGACCAGGAGAATGGTGACTTTGTCCCTAACCCAGAAAATAATGATCCCAAACCTTCCAGGCATAAGATTCGAAATAGGAAAGATATCCCGAGCATAGCTCTGGCCAGCATGCGACACCACACTGGTCTCAGAGAAACTGCAGAGATAGCAACAGCTGCCTGGATTGACGGTGGTTTGATAACACCTGATGATGTTCACCTGGTGATAGATCATAACAAAGTAAAGGAGAGCTCAGGAGAAACTTGTCAGTAACCTAGAAGAGGAGTTTGATAAGGATAAGAGAAAAATGGAATCAATTGTTTGTTCTTTTGATGGGAGAAGGATGACACTAAAGTGTTCATGAAAGTTGAGATTCTGACAAGTTGTTCCCTGCCATGGTGAAGGAGGAACACTACTCCTGCTGCAGTGAACCAGGAGGGAAGTATTTGTGGCATTTCACTCCAGAGAAAGATGACATCAGGAAACCAGCTGGAGATAGTGGCAGATAACATTGTGAACTGGCTCAGAGAGAGAACGTAGACCAGACCCTGCAGGCCATTGGAGGGGACAGCACCAACACGAACACAGGGTGGCAAGGGGGGGTCATACAGTGGATAGAGCGGAAGATTGGGAGGAAGCTGGTCTGGATTGTTTGTGACCTCCACACCAACGAGTTGCCACTCAGACATCTGATCCAGGAGCTGGATGGCAAGACTCTTTCAAACAACAGATGGTCTGGTCCTCTTGGCAAGATGCTGGACTCTGCCACTGAGTTAGAAATAAATCCGAGCTTTGAAAAAAATCACAGTTGGCCCTCCACTCGTTGAGCTTGCACATACTGTCATTGACGACCTGAGTACTGACCAGTACTATGGTTACATGATTTGCAGTGCCATCAAAACTGGGGTCATGCCTGATAGACTTGCTTACCTGCAGATAGGTCCAGTCTCACATTCTAGGTGGCTCACAACGGCTCTCAGGTTCTGTAGAATTTGGGTCGCTCATCATAAACTGAAAGGGAACCAGCTTCACAACCTGAGACTTATTATCAATTCATCGTGAGTGTCTACTTGCCAAATTGGTTCAACACCAAGGTCAAGTCATCGTTCTCCGAAGGTCCGAGGCATGTTCTCTTCCAGCTTGAGCTCCTGAGGAGTCAGCCAAGGAAGGTTGTTCAGATTGTGGAGCAGACTGTGAGGAGATCTTCCTGGTATGCTCATCCCGAGGCAGTTCTGCAGACAATGCTCTGCAGTAAGGATGAGGAGGAGAGAAGAGTGGCAGTCAAAAAAGATCTTGGATATGAGACTTATGAGAGGATCTGGGCATGACGAATCAGTTGGTGACGATTCCTTCAGGGTCAGGAAGACTCCTGAAGTCAATCTAGGTGCCAAGACCCTCACTGATCTCATAGATCTGGATAACATCCAGGCTGGCAGTGAGCCCCCTCTTACCTGCAGCCTCACCAATGTTCAAGTCAGAGCTTTCCTGGACAACCCCATGCATGTCCCTGCCTGGCCCTCGCACACCCAGAGTATAGAGCGTTGTGTACAGCAAGTGAGCGAGGCCAGCAGTCACGTGTACAGCCAGGAGAGGAGGGAAGGCTACATCCGAGCTCAGGTGGTCAGCAGGGAGGTGATGAGTAGAAACAGAAGCAAGAAAGACATATTCTCTATGGTGTGCAGCAACACCGGTCGTAGTAGTAAAACCGGTTTTTATTTGATGATTTTGTTTTCTAAAGGAATATTAAATTTAATAAATGTGTCAAGATCATTCGTTTCACTATTCTGGATCATTTTCATCCTAATAAATTAACCTGATACATTTACTTTACTTTAAATAAGCTATTTAGTGGTGTTGGTAAAAGGGTGGGAATACTGAATTTTCATAAGATTTCAAGTTAAAATTTACCTAGCAAAAAATGAAAACTTTTCAAATCTGAAGATATCACATGATTCTGCACATAGAACTACATCATTAATACCATGGGCCGATTTTTCAAACTCAAAAAAAAAAAAAAAAATTCGCCTCCGTATGACACACCCTAATGTTATAGTGTATTATGTTCCTTTACAACAGCTGAGGTCTTTAAAGGCTCATTCTAGATTAGTAGACACACTTGCCATCAGTTATTAAAAAATAAGAGAGATAAACCTTTTCTGGTTGTAATGAAAACTTAACAGTTTAAATACTGTCGAACTTGAAACACATTCTGACACAGACCTGTTTTTTCTCCTTGATTTTCATAGTTGGTGTCTAATGTGTGGACTAACTTCCAGTCAGTATTTAAAGAAGGTAATCATTAAAGCTTAGACATACATACACACACACACATAACTCTCTGTTTCTAACATTCTTGGCGCCAGGTCTTGATTCCTGCCGACTCTGTAACAATGCCTCCTGTTTTAACTCTAATAATTCATTTCCTCTTTCCTGAGGAATTTTTTCGTCGTTCGTTCACGTTATGTTATTAACTTCTTCTGTTCGTCATGATTAGGTGTGTCAGCAGCAGGCGGTGGTGTGGTACTGATATCCTGCAGCTCACGTAAACAAAACACTTTTTTACTTCTCGTAATCAACTCCAGCATTCAGATAAATTCAAAATCATTTATATCTATCACACACACACACACACACACACACACACACACACACACACTCGACATTCATCAACTCGTCAGAGTCGTTGTATCATGTTGCCTCAGTGTACCCAGCATGACGTCACGTGCACCTAGTCTATATAATTGGAATTCTATAGTTCTGTTATTTTTTTTATTCTCTCTATATATCTTGACTTTGTAAATAGTACTTAATAAAAGACATTGACTATATTTATATAATTTATTTTCATCCTCATAACCCAACCTTTATGTTAATGGCGCAAAAGAAAAATAACTTTCACATCATAACTCTATACTTTGAAGTAGTATTGGAACCCATAAAGGTTTAGTAATTAACTTCTTCTATGACTAAGTAGTAGGACTTAAGACTCTACATGTCCGCCAAGAATTAGCACAACAACAACAACACCAAAATCATAACAAAAACATAACATTTATTTCCTATGTTCATAAATCAAGATATAAATAAAATGTGGCCCAAAAGCCTTTATCACAAGAGAGGAAGAATGACGCCCTAGTGACCACAACCACGAGTTTGAAGTTTTTACATTTCTAGTTTGAAGATAAGAATAAAAAAGGACAAGAATCAACTTAAAAAATTAATAAGGATCCATAAACATTCAGTCCATAATGTGATTTTCTTTACTCAGTTGTCACTTGTGTATCTTATTAACTGTATAAATTCACACCACTAATATATAAACCATTGTTAAAACACACAAGGATAAGTTGCAGATGTAAACAAACACTTAAATTACCCAAAAGAAACTAAGAATACAAACATAAACTATGTTGATCTTATCATCTTAAGGAGGATAATTCTTTATTTACATTAATCTCATCAAGTCAGCTGAGGTCAGAGGCAGAGATCGTGAGTATAAGATACCCCCCATTAAACTGTCGTCACTAACCTCTGCCATAAGTTTAAGAGTTAGTCAGGGTTTGGATTGGCAAAGATTGTAACGTTATTTTTTCCTAGTTAACCGGGATGAGAAAATGCTCCTAAGTACGGTCGATTTTCATTTCAATATCATCCACCATTTTGTTGACGTAGCTAAAGTAAATCAATGAAACTGGTTTTCGTGTGTTCAGTAAAGAAAATATTTAACGTATGATCATTTGACAATTCTGACCCAGGTCTTTGGTGCCTCGTAGGGATTCCCTTAAGGGTAACGAGAAATTTTCCGCTGTGAAGTTTTTGTATTTTTTTTCTGGGGGAGGGTGGCGGGTGAAATTAATTAAAAACTGGTCCAAATTTGTACTTTTCAGGCACACAAGGACCTAGTCGCATCTTTCTCCTCATCTGACAACCTCAGACGGTCACACTAGAACTAAGCAATAAAAGAGACAAAATGTATCCATTGATTTTTTCTATTCCGTCATGTAGTCATACTGTTGACGCCAAGAAAAACAGATTCAGAATTCCTTTTAGGCATAAATAAATAATCAATTGTTCGTAAACCCTAGCTATTTACATAATGATTTAATAATATAATACAGTGTACAGTGTCTCTCGGCTCCTCAACATTCCTTATACGGATATTCATCTTTTCTTTAAGTGAGTATAATCGTAAAGGTTGTCACCTCCCCCCAGCCTCTCCAGTACATGTGGGCGTTTAAGTAATTTTCTCTTTGTGTGTAAAGTTTTCAACGAAGCCTCCGAGACAGTGTTCAATTCTCCAAGACTTTACATTTTCTCACCCCTCGGCTGTCAGTGGACTGGAGTACTGGTGTGTGTGTGTGTGTGTGTGTGTGTGTGTGTGTGTGTCCTCATCATTTCTGCTAAACGAAGACAACTGACCTAAGAAACCACATGTGTTTTCAATTCACAGGATCCATAGATATGCCCTTTGAAGGTTATATCTTTAGGGGATGTCACTAGTTTTGCAAAATTCTTGCATCCACTTTGACTGCTAAGCTAAGGGGTCATGCTTCGCCCCACGTACTTGGCCCTACAACACACGCTCGTTCTCTACGTCACTGGAGGTTTCTTCTTCTATGACCTGGGTAACGAGGTGACCGAGACTTCCTGTACTGACGAAGGACATCCTCCTGGGCTGCAGGTCCATCACGAAGCCCTCGTTAGCGTAAGATATCTGGAGCTCGGTGAGGCTTTCACTGAAGCTGCCTCTACCGCTGTCTCTGCCGCTGCCGCTTCTACTGCGCTGTGAGGAACTCTCAGAGACAGTCCTCGCCTTTTTAGACTTAGGATCTAAGGCAATAGAAGCAGCCACCGCAGCCGAGGACAGTAAGGCTGAAGGTGTCAGATGATTCTTCCCTCGGATGCGATCTTTCAGATTCCGTCTGTGAAAAATAAAGTGTCTAAGATTTAATGAATTAAATATATCATGAGAAACAAACATTCACAGACCTGCAAACATACACACATACACTCATGCACAAACACATACATGCACAAACGCACGCACAAGGGCACACATACAAACAGACATACACACACACACATACACACACACCCATACACACATACAAACGTGCACACACATACACACACACTAACACATACGAACAAAAACATACACACATACATACACACACATCACATATACTCGTACATACATACAAACACACACACATTCACAAACACACATACACGCACCGTTATTGCCACTCTGGAGAGGTTAACACACAAAGCAGAGTTTTTGGTGTACACGTCCGGAAACATTCAGCAACTTACGGTGGGTTATAGACGACGTCACTTCCGTAAACATCAGAGGCGGTGGACTTAATGGACCAGACGTAGCGCTGCATCCCCTGTCCTCGTGTCAGCACCAACGACGGCTGTGGCAACAACATGAAAGTGAATAAGAAAGATATCAGGATCATCACCAGCGACAACTGTAACACCTAAACGAAAACAAAACAAATATGATTCAATCTAGGAAAAGGTTCACGGAAGTTGGTCAGTATCAGGGGAACTACGACCCCAAATAAACCAAGAAATGTCCACACCCTGAGTGTTTAATATATATTATTAATCAATAAATACTGTGCAAATATGTCTATATTAAGTAGTTTATTTGTTCTTTTCATGATACTAAATAAAATTAAGATATACTTATATTAGTAAAGATATTAATTGATGTAATGCTCAGGTGTGATGTTGTAACCATAACAGGTGTGAGAGACGCTCACAGTGGCCTACAGAAGACTTCACCTCGTTCTTGTAGAAACAGGGGAAGGTGACTCTGAAGGCTCTCCTGAAGGTCTGATGCATAAGGGCGTACACGATAGGGTTGATGGCGGCGTTGGTGTACACCATATACTGCGCCACCGTCAGTAGGTCGTTGTAGGTCTGTCAGCAACAACACTTCACTCATGAACTAGTCTCAATAAATACGTTGTAAATAATTACAATCAACTGTAATTTAATAATTTACCCCTAAAGTTATCAGTCACCGCTTCAAGGAAAAATATTTTCTGAGCAAAATATTTTATACACAAATAAAGACTGGCCACAACATCACCCAGAACAGATGGACTCACTGGGGTGCAAATTAAGAATTGTTTACACGACTCACCTGCTCGGCTTTCTCGTTCACAAAATGACCAGATTCGTCGATAAACATGTTGTTAGCTATCTTGAGGATCTGGAAGGGCAACCAACACACAGTGAAGGCCACCACCACCACGAACATCATCCTTACCACCCGCTTCTTGAGGTGCACCATGGCCGGGTGCTCTGTCCACACGAAACAAGTAATCCATCGTTAAATAAGTTAAAACTAAGAGTCTCCAGTGGACTAGTTGAACAAGAGCAACAGGGTTCATTAACAGTGACAATGAAGTGTGCATGAGAGACTCACCGCGCGATTTCATGAAACTGAAGCGCATTTGCTGGAAGTAGACGAAGATTCTGGTGTAGGAGACGACCATGATGGAGAGAGGCAGCCAGGTGAGGCCAATGATGCTCACCACCCACCAGATGCGGATCTTCTGATCCTCCTCCCCACAGTTAGTCTCAGTCAGGTCTTTCCACGCCCGCACCTACATAAGACGGCACATTGTGTTGGAAAAGTACCGCATATACCTCGCTGAACAAACAATTCATGGGACTCAAATCATACTAATAACCCTGGAGTAGTTTTATTAGGTTTGGTAACCTAGAGTCGTCTGTTAACTTCTCCCAACACCTAAAAGTAATGTTTTACATCTTCTGCTTTAAAGTCCTGTTGAAAGAGCTGTACGTTCAACCATTTTGATTCACCAGTTACAGGAGCAACTACAATATGTCTGTAAAGGTCAGTTGGTCGGTTAACAGACTGATAAAACAAAATTATTCGTTAGACTTTACGTACAAGACTAAGAGATAGCCATCTCGCGCCGTGGCCATCAACGTAAGATGGCGTACGTGTAGAGAGGGAACATTTATATAAAGTAGTAGAAATGACTGGTCCCCTCTCGTCTACTGAGGTGCTAGTGAGAGTATAGTGGCGCCTGTGTACCTGCTCTTGTCATGTTTACTTGCTCATTTCTTCTCTCCGCTCACACTTACTCAAGTGCACTGGGTCACCTTTATGTCAACTTTCTGATTAACACTCACTCAACATGTACGTGATGGACTGAGGCTCAAGTTTTCTTCCCCGAGTCCCCGAGAACATACACGACCACACCTACACTTTGTCAGACTCTCACCAATTGAAATCTCTAACCATGGTAGCGTAAACCGCTGTTATGGACGGAGTTCTTCCCGGACTCTCTCTCTCTCTCTCTCTGTGTGTGTGTGTGTGTGTGTGCTCGGCAGCTGAGTATCTCTTTGTCAGGTCACATGATCTAGTCCTGCCGCACATTGCTGTCTGTATCATACAGATATACTGTGGAGACCAGCCACTCAAGTATTGTATATAGCCAGGTGCACTACGTCCCTTTTCTCCTGTAGAACCAAGCTATGGAAAACAGTTCGTTGACTACCTGTGTCAATAATGAGACGCGTGTGTTCAAAATTAGTGCAAAGTTTACCAGATATTAAAGAGAAGGAAGTACAGCGGTCATGGATATAAAGTAAGACCAACGATACAGTGTCGATAAGGGATCTAACCGTATATATCCTGTAGAAGCAGAAAGGCAGGGCGAGGATGGCTGACACCACCCAGATGGCGACGATGATGGCGACGTAGTTCCAGCGCTTGAGATGTTTGTGGAACGGGAACACCACACCCACCATGCGGTCACAACTGATGGTGGCCAGTGACGTCACACTCACCAGCATCACCAACACTGTGAGCAGGTAAACAAAGACGTTAAAATCACCATTACTATAGGGAGCAGAGGCGAGTTGGAGAACATGTACTGCACCAGGATCACCAAGACACGGCTGAATGAGCAGTGTTGGCGGTGTGTAGCAGAGGAAATAATTTTACAGAATAATTAGATGAGTTTACACTAAAAATAGGAGCTATATACTGTACTTACACGTGTGTGTGTGTGTGTGTGTGTGTGTGTGCGTGTGTGTGTGTGTGCTTACATTTATAGCTACATCTGGAATGCAGTTTCGTTAAAAGGCAATTGACGTTCTCGCCAAATATTTGTAAAATTTGCTTTGTTTCATTCATGATATTATAACCAATTATACCTAAATTAGGTTAGGTTAGGTTGGGTTAGGTTCGGTTACGTTAGGTTACATTAGATTACATTCGGTTACGTTCGGTTACGTTAGGTATGTTTACGTGTGTTATGATCGTCTATGGCCAGCTGATATTAAAAAACAAATATATATATATAAAAGTTATCTCTATTTCGCAACTATAATATAAATATAAACTTCCTCTACCTGAAGACCCGTAGCAGGTTCAACACGTAGTCATAGAGCAATTTGGCCCACGAGAGAGAGACCTGTGCTCGGGTTATCATCATGATCGATTTCAGGTCTTCAGGTCTTCAGGTCTCTCCGATGTTATTGTTGTAGTCACAAGGTTGATTAAAGACTGTTTATGTTAGCAGAACGAACGAGAGGTGTGGCCGATCCTGCACGAGGGCCCAAGGCGGGAACTAAATTAACCGATGATTAACTGGATAATAAACACTCATAGAGACAATACAAGTAAAGTAACTATATGGCCGTCTTTGTGAAAGCATATAAACAGAAGCATATCTTCTTTTTTTATGGGGAATAGCCCACCCGGGCACAGGTCATCGACCCACAACGGTCCTTAGGGTGGCGAAAAAAATAAAAGTAAAAAGAAATTAAAAATAGAAGAAAAATAAGATTATATTAATCTAACCACAAAGATGCCGGAAAACCATCTTTTTGAAGTGAGACAGATTGTATGAGTATGGAAACACAGATGGAGGCAGAGCATTCCACAGTTTGGCTGTGTGAGGAAAGAAGGAGGTACTATAACGGGTTATTCAAGTGTGATCGACATCCACACAGAAACGGTGAGCACCGCGGGCAAGACGAGTTTTACGAGCCCACGTCCTTCCCAGCGGTACACAGGATGCCAAATCCACCGAACGTTGCCCATTAAAGTACCTGCAAAAGAGAGAGAGAGTGATTGTGATCAGAAAATTCTAAGGGGCGGAAACTGAGTAAGAATAGTGTGAGGGGTTAGAGGTAAAACAAAGTTCAAGAATAAGGCCGAGCTGCTCAGTAGACTCTTGCTCTTGCTCGGTCATCACAGGTCTATAAATAAGCAAAAACTCAGCCAATAATACAAGATCTGAAAAATACTAGCCTGGGTTGTCTTCTCTCCTACACAGGTTGGATGAATATATGAGCGATTGGGGTTGGGTGTAAACGGGACTGTCCAGTATGGGCCAATAGGCCCGCTGCACTTTCCTCCTTTCTTATGTTCTTATAAGTCTCGATGGGTAATGTTGATCAAGGTGATATAATAAGAGTGGTGCGGCAGCTGAGTGGATACAACATCGCTTCCTGTCCCAAAGGTCATTGGATCGCTTCCAAGGTACCCTTAACTCACCTGTGAATGGGTATCTACCTTTACAGGCGGGAAAGTAATGACGGTCTAGTCCTGTACAGGCCACTCTACCCCTTTGTGTATCGAAGGCTTTGACTACAGTGTGCCAACGAGACCCAGACCCACATTTTTCAATGCAGTAAGACGCACAGTTCGAGGGTTCCGTCCCCGAAGCTGTAACAACCTGCCAACATAAACAAAACAGCGCCTCTAGCACGACGGCTGATCCTCCCACCAGGACCTGTGTGTGTTGGATGGTTGTAGTTGTCCATGCAGAACTTTAGTTAGTATACAGGTACACTACTTTATGTCTGCAGACAGTTGATAGGGCGCCTGAACCTGTTCGATCGGAGGATAATAAGATAGAGACAAAATTTATGCAATTAAATATGAATTGGTTGTGTGGATGACGATGTGTGTGTATAGTTCAGGGTTACTACCGAGAGCTTATACTGACCGACCATGGGGAACGAGATAAATCCTAGAGTACAGAGTTCTCACGGTCTGAGTACAGAGTTCTAACGTTTAATAATAATGTGTCGGGTGTTTACGGAGTCCTGTGTGGTTCCTTTAACAGGCGGTACAATACACAATACACATGTTCTGGGTCCACATTCACAATCATTCTCACATTCATTTCAGTTCAGTTATATTCAGTAAAATCGCCATACAAGTTTACATTGACCATACAGTTATACAATTCAGTTTGTGTATAGATAATGGAGGTATATGACAGATACATATACTCGTGCAGTGCAGGTATACAAAAATGTACTTTGATAATATGGCTATACTGTACAATTAATGTTCAACAGAAAGGCAATTCGATCAAGGATCCTTAAACAAAGCCATCAGATGCTTATTACCACCGAACCTGATGACGTATGAATACATGTGAGGCGCATATGACAAGAATGGACAAAACGCCAGGAAAAAAAAAAATAAAGACCTCTGGCGCTTTGCTCACTGTGATCTGCCGCCCAACACCTTCATCACCAGCCCTGCACGGATAGTGACGCGTAGGTTGTTTTACTTAAAAGCCAAATCGACCATATTGCCACTTCCATTCTGAGTAACTGAATCTCTATCGGGATACAGAGGTGGTTTCCCTATCTTTTCGTGAATAAATCTCGATTTTGACCATAGTGACGCTTTGTCCACTCTGTTCGTAGACACCTCATGTACCCGGCTCATTTAAGCGAGGATTTTTTTTTTTTGAGGGGGGGAGAACTCCCCAGACACAGGTCATCTACCCACAGCGGGGCCTGGGGGGAGAAGGAAGTAAAAATTAGAGAGAAAGAATATATTAATCTACACCACAAAGACGCCGGAAGACCAGCTTTTTGAATCGAGCCAGAGTGTATAAGTATGGAACACAGGAGGCAGAGCATTCCACAGTTTGGCTGTGTGAGGAAAGAAGGATGTACTATAACGGGTTATTCAAGTGTGACTGACATCCAACAGAAACGGTGGGCACAGCGGGCAAGACGAGTGTTACAAGCCCACTGTCTTGCAGGCGGTACACAGGATGTCAAATCTACTGAACATTGCCCGTTAAAATACCTATAACAGAGAGAGAGTGAAGCAACATTGCGGCAAAGAGAAAGGGAAGCAAGATTATTGACTGAAGGAGGAGAGTTAATAAGACGAAATGCCTTTGATTTCACCCTATCTAACAGTTGGACAGAAGAACCACCCCAGATATGAGAGCAGCTGAAGCAACTGCTCAGGAGTAAAGCAGCTACAGCATCTGTACAACATTTCCAGCTTTTGGGAGGCAGTTATAGCTATATTGTGTATGTGTGGCTTCCATGACATATTAGAGGAAATGGTGAGGCTTAGCATATCTATTTTAGAGTTTGTCAAATTGGTGGATTCTTGAAATATGATCGATGGGAGATCTTCTATTTTGGAAAGTGTATTGAGTAAATACTGTGTTTTCTTACCATTGAATTTAACTAAATTTCTACTTCTCCATTCGGAGATGCTGCACAGATCTGTATTGATAGAAGAAACGATATCAGCTCTAGAAACAGATCTAGTTTGACAGTTAGGGGGAAGGGGAAAAGTGTGAAGAAGAGTGAAGAGTAACATTATGAACGTAAGAATGGATGGAATTAGTCGTTATGTGAAGTAAATCATTGATAAAAAGAAGGAAGTGAATAAGTGAAAGAACAAAGCCCTGTGGGACACCACTAGTGGTAGAGAATGAGCGAGAGATCGATCCCTTCACAACAACTGCCATGGATAGGTTCTCAAGGAAGCTAGAAATTAGAGAACAAAGTCGGGAGAGAAACCATGAGAGGGAAGTTTAGAAGGCAAAGACTTGTGCCATACTTTGTCAAATGCTTTGGAGATGTCATGGGCCACGACGAAAGTTTCCCCATCATCCCTTAGAGAGGATAACCAAAGATGGGCGCAGTAAGAGAACAGATCACCAGTAGATGTCGCCTGGCGGAAGCCATACTGGTGATCCGACAAAAGAGAAAGGCATTCAAGGTGACGGAGAAAATGAAAGTTTAAGCTAGTTTCGAAGATCTAAGAGAGGGGTGAAGTTAGGGCAATGGGGCAAAAGTTGAGGGATTAGAATGGTTACTCTTCTTCGGGGTGGATTGAACCAAGGCATGCTTCCAAGAAGAAGGAAAAGTTTGGGTTTTGAGGTAAAGGCGAAAGAGGCAAAGAGGCGAGCAAGCACAGGTGCCAGAGCTTCAGCACACACCCCTAAAAACACGAAGGGGTATTCTGGCTTGTCCATACGCCTTAAGCTGCGGTCACACTAGTGTTTCTACCCAGAATAAATCCACCGTACCGTTGATTTTTCAACGAACTACTCAAGTTGTCTCTACAGCGACAACTTATTTGTTGTCGAAAGTGGGACGATACGGAGCGTCTGAAAATCCATGGTGGGTTGAAATTTGCTTTAGAGTCTATTGTATTCATAAAATTTTCACCGTTCTCATTTTTCTTATTATTTTTAAAATGTACAAAAAATAAAAAAAAGAGTATTCAAATAAAAAAACACGAGCAAACATGTCATAGTAATTGAAAAATAATAATAATAATACACCACGACGGGAATTTCATTTGACTCTAGAGTACTTGCGTCACTTTTGTAAACAAGCATCGCTTGGACGCTACAAACGAACACCAAATTTCCGTGATGAATACTGCTAGTATTCCTTAGGGCAAAGCGTCTCAAATTGTTCTCATTGAAAAAGTGACGTAGGGCGTACCCTGCAATTTGGAATTATGAAATCCCCGATTTCAAGAGGAAAGTGAAGAAAAAACATTGCTACCAGC